GAATGTGTGACGAAGTAACATAACCTTACAAATTAACTTACCCTAACCTATATTTTTAATGTAAATTACAAAAATTCGATTGGAGTAGTTAATGAATAGGTACTGAAAATGTTGAGGGTCGATTAAACATTGTTTTGACCCAATTTATTATATATTAAGTTTCGTCCGTGGTTTCAAACAAGAATTAAATTGGTTGCTAAAATTTATTATTGTATAATGTACGAAGGCTTAGTTTCAAGAAAATCGAACAAAAACGGGGGTGTAAAAGATAGAACAGGGTTATATACCATCCCTTATCGCAAAGGTTATTTAGTACTGCCGTGTGCTGTATTTCTAAACAAAAAGGCATCGTTATTCCTTATAGACAATAGTGCATTGGAGTAACAAATAATAGAGCGCGTTCATAATCTCCCGATTTCGAAAACACCTGTCGAAATTGGATTAATCTTCTATAAACTTGAGTTTGTTTAAAAATTAATAAAGGGACCATCAATAATTAATAATATCCGGAATTAATTGATGGAAAGTNAGCATTTACAGAAAGAGTATTTCTGTTACGAACACAAAGTGGCGGGACGACAGGAATAAAGCTTAATTAAAACTAATTAAAAATTGACTTTTAGTTTACTTAAATCTTTGTTTGCTATATTTAGAGGCTATTAATGTATTTAAGAGCGACAGCAATGTGTTACTGGCTGCTAGGTGTAACAAAAAATATGTTTTTAAAAACAAAAAATAAAATACTTTATTTTTATGCTGAGTACTTTTTTTTTAAACCATTTAGTCGAGAAATACTTTATGTAAAGTCTGAAAAGGTGGCAACCCTAGCTCATGTCGCTCACGACCCTATAAAGACACGTTACTTGCCAAAGCTCATCACCGAAAGCTCGAATTTTCTCGCTCAAAAACTTCAAGAAAATACGTGTATTCCCGTGGAGCGAATTTTACTCATGAAAATGTGTGTTGTGACTAGTTGTTTGGCACCCTTTTTTTAATTCTAAATCGCTATTGAAGATATTTTAGTAATTCTTCTTCATTAATTTGAGGTTAATTCAAAACTTTAATTCACTAATACAGTGAATTAATCCTACAAAAATCCAAAGTGTCCAATTAATAATATTTTAAAAATATCAACTTAGCACTATCAGAAATGTAAATATCACCCCCTTTAAACACAACTTCTGATTATTGTTTAAAGCGAAAACAGTTAATTTTACCAAATACATAAATAATATAATCAGCTATTGTTAATTAAATTAATGAATTTTAGCGTTTTTCAACGTTAAACACTAACAATTACTTTTTTAAAATTATTATTTAATATAAACTAGAAGGAGTCGCTGATTTTCGATATTTAGGGAGTCAGACGACTCACGATGGAGAAAGCCCTACAGAATTATAAAACAAAGAAGGAATGGGGTCGCTTTCAACAAAAAGAAATCACTTTTGTACTCGAAGTCGGTTAATTTTGAAATTTTAAAACGATTATTAATGGTAAAAGAAAAGGTTAGAAGTAAAGAGCTATTAGAGCAGAAGACGTTAGGGAAATAAATAATAAATAGGCCAAATAAATTGGTAGGGCATCTTCTCAGACCTAGAGGCATATTAGAAGCAGAAACAGGAGTTAAGGGGGGAAGAGATAAACTTAGTTCGCAAATAGTTAAAGATGTATATATGTCCAATCAGTCTACGGGCTGAAGGCTCTTGAAGAAGATTATTAAATATTGCTTATGATAACACTTGTTATGCATATTTTGTGCATGTTTGCATACCTATTTCAAGCTTTTTATGTTGCATAATATAATCCAGTATCTAATTAGGACATAGAAGAGGTAGTCGCACTCCTCCTAGAGCTTTGAGAATTCACTTTACGTGATATTTAATGTTCTCTTGCAGCTATGCGAACGTGCAAGAATTTCTAATCATTGCAATAATTAGCAGGTTTCTGGGTAAACTTCGCCGCTTTGTTTTTTCCTTTTTCTGGGGGTAAATGTGCACTTAAATATTCGTTTTGTAAAAATAATATAGTTACAATTATCCTTTATACGATTTTCCGGGAAATGTGCTACAACTAAGTATGTACATCATTTNGCATTTTGGCGGCAACAACTCCTGATGAATGTGCCGGTGCGTTATCGTGTTGAAAACGCACCTTCTTTTTCTTCAAATGCGTCCGTATCTCCTTCAATTTTTTGTCGAAGCGGTCCTCTAACTCACTGTAGTATTGTCCAGTGATCGTTCTTCCTAAAAAATCCGTGAAATGATTTCCTCGATAACAACGTTTGCCAGGCTTCCTGGTCGCTCCTATCAAAAACGGATCTTTGCCCACGTTTAAATTCGTTGAAGCANTATAAATAATTAACCTCAAACTAACGAGGAAAAATTGTTACTGGCAAGTAAAACCAAGGGCCGGAGTTCGATTCCCGGCAAGGGAGTGAGAGCAGCTACAATTTTTCCTCTTTAATTTGAGGTTATCTGAACCGGGGAAAATTAATTCACTAATGCATTGAGGGATCATTCCGATAAAAAATGAGGAAAATGCAGACAGGTGGACAGAATATTTAGCAAACCTATACGCAGGCCATAAGTTAGGAGACAGAGAAGGAAGATAGTGTGGAGATAGATGAACTAGGTTATCCCATAATGAGGGAAGAGTTCGATGTAGCATTAAAAAATTTAAAAAACAATGAGGCACCAGGTATAGATGGCATACAGGCGGAAATTGTGAAACGTGCAGGACAAGAGGCTAGACATCGCATGTTTAAGAGACGGGGAAAGTCCCGGAGGATTATAAACGGAACGTGATAGTAATCATACCTAAAAAGAGAGGCGCGGATAGGTGCGAGACATTTACAATAATTACAGGCACAGATGGAAGGATATTAGAAGATTTGCGTTCAGAAGAAATAGAGGAACGCGGGACGTCATTCTAGCTTTACGGATAACAATAGAGAAAACTATAGAAAAAGGAAAGAGCGCGTACATAGAATTTGTGAATTTAAAAAAGCTTTTGATAATGTTAAATGAGACAAGATGTTAAATATACTTTTAGATATCTAGGAAGTCAGATAAGTCAGGACGGAAGGAATAGTACGGATATAAAGCAGAGGATTGCAAATCAAGTTACCTTCAATAAAAAAAAGTTACTTCTGTACTCGTCAACGATTAATTTAAAAATTCGAAAAAGATTGTTAATGGTGTACGTATGGAGCGCGACGCTGTACGGGTGCGAAACAAGTAGGTAGGGCGCAGCAAAAGAAAGAAACAACAGGAGTACAAAGGGCTTTATGAAAGTCAATAAAAAAATAGGCAAGATAGATTGGTAGGACACCTTCTCAGGCATGAAGATCTAGATTAGATTACTGTGGAGGTGCGTGTCCAATCAATCTTAGGACCTTATGATGATGAATACATTGAATTAACAGTAGAAAAAGTATCTGAATTTTAATTTGTTACGTGTTGAGCATCATCATAGGGTCGTCAGTCCTAAGACTGGTTGGACACGTACCTCCACTCTTTCCTATCCTGACCTAAACTTCGCATTTCCCTAAAACTAGAACAACCCACATCCTTAACTATTTACGAACAGTGATCCAATCTAGGTCTACCTCTACCCCTTCTAACTCCTGTTTCTGCCTCTAATATGTCTCTTGACTAGACCATCATGCCTGAGAAGGTGTCCTACTAACCTATCTCGCCTTTTTCTTATTAACTTCCATAGAGTCCTCTGTTCTCCTATTCTTTCTAATACCTCTTCATTTCTAACCTTCTCTATCCACGGTATCCTCATCACTCGCCTGTAACACCACATTTCGAAGGCTTCTAACCTTTTCTTTTCCGCCGGGCCCACTGTCTATGTTTCGCACCCGTACAACGCCGCGCCCAAACGTATTGAGCATTTAATAAGAAATCCGTAACAGAAATTCTAGTAAAATAGATTTTTATATGCGTCTCAGCAGTAGTTGTTATAAATTGCGAATCGGCTATATTTTTTTGTGTAGTTTCCCTTCTGTTATGACATGTAGGTTAGGTTTAGATTTAAATTTTGCCCTTGTCCGGTTTTTGAAATAAATTTAATTTCGAAAGAAGTTCGTTTGTCACGTTTAAAACGAACACGAAACAGAAGGCCTCTGTCAAACTGAATTTAAACTATTCGTTTTGCGTCTCTGATTCAACAGCGGATCAAGGAGGGATAAACTTCAACATTCCCGCGTTTTGGTTTAGATCCTCTTAAACTCCACAACGACCATTACGCGAGCTTGTTAAATTTGGAATTTAATTAATCCTACACGGCTCATATATTATTTCACCTACACAAAGCGAAAGTCATTTTAGGATTCTCATAATCCTTGTTTGCTAATTTCCTTTTTCGTTCTATCTGTCAGTTTTTGAGAAGAATTGTGCCGAGATTTTTATGTCATATTTTTGGATAAATGGTACTGTTCTGAAAAAAGGGGCAATAGCGCTTAGTAGTGAAAAAAAAGTACGGGTCAATCGGGTTATAAAGAGAGCTCATGGGTGAAGTGCCCAATTAAGAGTTGGCAGAACATGCAATTGGCAATAAAAATGCTGAATAAATGTGGTGTAAAAATGAATGAATTTTTTAAATTTATGACGTGATACAAAATGATGTAAAAATTCTCGGTTAAAAAAAAGGACAAGGGCCAGTACAGCTCACGTCCTGAGTTTTCCTGCATTACATTATCCTAAAGCTTACTAATGTTAGTTACTGGATAACCGAATAACCGGCTATCCGACATTAGCTGTGCTCTCTAGTATAAACGTTTATTAAATTTGTGTGTAATGACTGAAGAAGAATGGATAATATCATATTTTGTACACTCAGTGAACACGTCCACAAGACGATTGGGTGATGTTATCGATGGTGTACAAGGTCTGTTCAAAAAGGATCGCGAATTTTGTGTTTTTTCAAAAATTATTATTTTAGTTCGACGGATTTGTGACCTAATAAGTACGGTTTGTCGTTGTTGCTGTTGTCATCTCTCGTAGCTTAGTGGTCAAAGCATTGGCGCGGAAAGCCAAAGAGCCCGGGTTCGATTCCCGGCGGGGGTGTGTCAACAGCAACAAATTTTTCCTCATTAATTTGAGGAAGTGTGTAGTGGGTAAAAAAATTCACAAATGAATTGTCAGAATAATATTTCAAATTATTATTTGTTTATTCATGAATATCTATTTTGTCCCCTTCAAACTAACGTTTTTTTCTATCCTCAAAGCACTTCAAAAAATCATTTTTTGAGATCTTGTTCAGCTCCTCCTTCGATGCCGTCTTTATCTACTCAATCGTAGCGTAGTGTATTCCTTTCAATGGCCTCGTCAGTTTTGGGGAACAATAAAAAGTCACTGGGGGCCAGACCTGGGGAATACGGTGGCTGCAGCATTTTAGTGTGACCACGTATAGCACTTACATTTTAATCATGGCAATCCCCAGTAGCATAACCTAATCTAAGTTCTTTCTCAGATAATACTCTTAACACTCTTTTTTTAATGGATGGCATATGTTGACACTTAAACAATTCGAAATTGTTTAGTCCACTTCGAATAGGTCAAAAATCAATTATTTTCAATGAAAAATTAAACGATGATATTCTGGGTTTCGATCGTTAGTCTAAATAATCTTTTCATCTTTTAATTAAATGTTCCGTTAATCGTCAAGTAATTCCAGAATATTGTATCGTCAGATATCTCAGCTGCACCGATTTTGCTTACAAAACAAAAACTATTTTCTTCATTAACTTTCACTAATTACTTTTAAAACGTTTAATAAAGTCAGATGAAATTTTATAAAACCCTCGTCTTCAAAAACCTAAATCGATTGGCTTTGTATCTTTTACCTATTTCTCACAATCATTAACTGAAAAATGCAATTTCGACTTTTTTCCACACCTTCGTCAATATGAAAACTCCCTCCTTGTTATCATGAGTCTATCTTCGCATTTTCCGTAATAGTTACTCATAAAACTAAGTAAAACACTGAAACCCGAAATTCCTTTTAAAAACCTTCAGAAACCTCAGGATGACGTCCTCGGTTAGTAACTGAATTAAACTAAATTGAAAAACTTACGATATAGGTATAATCCATATCTAAGATATTTTGAAATAACGAATAAGAGCATACATTCATAGAGGAATTCGTACTAGGAAATGGGGCTCGTCATTTACTGTCATAATGAAGCGAATTTTATTTATNTTAATTGATGGAAAGTGCTGAAGAAAAATAAAAAATTGTAATGAATTATAAAAGAATAGATTTCAGTTTTAAGGGAGTATAAAATGAAACTAATTTATTAATTGATACAATTAATTATTTCTTCAAATGCCGGTTACAGCCATAACTTAAAGGGAAAAAGTTGTTAATTATGTTTTCATGCATTTTCAAGTAGATTTAAGAGTTTTCTCTTGCAGTTACAGTACCTAACACATAACAGATGTCCCTTTTTGCAATTTTTCTTTAAGTTTGAAGTAATTAGTTGAAAGATCGATTACTTATCGTTATTAATTAAAGAGCTGAGTCTGCATTCGACTTTCTCATTTGTTGCTAATTATATACAAGTTCCTTTCTACAAAGTCCCGACATTTTTTAATTAAGCGCTTCAGTTAATCTAGAAAAAAATTGAAATCGACGTTAATTTTTTATATGTACAAGTTTAGCAGAGTGCTTCGTTAAAAACGGTACTAATTTGAGAATATACAATTCTTTAATTAAGTCCGTTGCTCACGAAGCATATTCGGTGTCAATATTTTTTCTTGTTAATTAGCGTATTGCTTTTTTTATAAGAACCTGCTACACTGACTAGAGGGTAATTACTGCATAGTTCTCACTGAATAATTTTATTCGAAACATCCCTGTGGTTTTAGTCGTATGGACAATGTCGCGATGAACTTTTGTGTTGTTTTACAGCTTTCCACTTATGAAGACACTTTCATTTGGTGTCATGTCTATGGTTGCCACCCGTACTTTATTATAAAGTATTGTACTCTATTTCGACTGTGCGTACGTTATACTTTACAAGACATATAAAGTACGCAGAAATACTTTATTTAAGGCCTTAACTAAACTCGAAATTCAGAGTATTTTTACATCAATGATATTGCAAAGAAAAATGGCAAGCCATATTTACGGAACAACCTGATTTCCCAAATCTGTTCAAAGTAGTGTCACTTTTGTTGTCCGTTCCGACCACTTCAGCATTTACAGAAAGAGTATTTCTGTTACGAACACAAAGTGGCGGGACGACAGGAATAAAGCTTAATTAAAACTAATTAAAAATTGACTTTTAGTTTACTTAAATCTTTGTTTGCTATGTTTAGAGGCTATTAATGTATTTAAGAGCGACAGCAATGTGTTACTGGCTGCTAGGTGTAACAAAAAATATGTTTTTAAAAACAAAAAATAAAATACTTTATTTTTATGCTGAGTACTTTTTTTTTAAACCATTTAGTCGAGATATACTTTATGTAAAGTCTGAAAAGGTGGCAACCCTAGCTCATGTCGCTCACGACCCTATAAAGACACGTTACTTGCCAAAGCTCATCACCGAAAGCTCGAATTTTCTCGCTCAAAAACTTCAAGAAAATACGTGTATTCCCGTGGAGCGAATTTTACTCATGAAAATGTGTGTTGTGACTAGTTGTTTGGCACCCTTTTTTTAATCCTAAATCGCTATTGAAGATATTTTAGTAATTCTTCTTCATTAATTTGAGGTTAATTCAAAACTTTAATTCACTAATACAGTGAATTAATCCTACAAAAATCCAAAGTGTCCAATTNCCAGCACGCATCCAAGACATTGGAAGGGTCACATCGCTAGAGAAAGTAAATGAAGTATACCAGTGATCTAAATATGAATTTATGGATACAATGTAACATTATTTTGTCCTTTTTCTATTATTCCTATTTTTACCAATTTACCCTCTACAGAATGAATCACATTCTGTACACATTGATACCACTTCTTTCTAATATTACTTTAGTATCTACCTAATATCTGGCAAATAAAAAAACTTCTTCCTTTTCTTCGTCTCAAATGGATTAAAAAGAAACTTTTACCTTTGGTTCGCCAAGCGCCGACTCTAACTTAGTTTTCTGTTAATTTCCTGAAAGAATATATTAAATCTGCGAGCAACTGAATTAACCGTATCTACAAACTGGGACGAAAAGGGGAAAAAGGGAAAACCGCGTCTTTCAAAAGAAATTCCTTCAGTTATAGCAATGGGCAAGTCTATGCCTTTGTCTTTGTTTATACAATTCAAATGAAGTTTCTGTAAGGTAAAAACGATTTTCAACCCCATCGCTAGAAACCTTCCGGGTCACATCGATCGCCGCTTCTCTACTTACCCCCCCCTCACACCTCCTACCCACCCTCCACTTTTTCCGTCGTCAAAGCTTACTGTTTCGTATCGAAAATTTTCAACTGAACGCCAGCACCCGTCTTACGCTAATTTAAAACGACAATTAACGAAGCTTTAATTGGGCCTATTGTTCCCCAGTTTCAGTCTGACGAATTGCGCGCCTTAAATCAACGTCCAGTTTTCGTTTTTGAATTAATGCTAGGCTGTCTGCGACTTTTTTTCGACGGAATTACCGAGAGAACTAGACACTGAAGCATTACGTTTCAGTAAAAATAGATAACGTTTTATTTATTTTTATTAACAATATACAGGGTGCCTCAATAGTAGGTATAACACGATATTTAATTTACTGATATGACTACACAACTATTAAATTAAACCGCACGCATTAAATTTTTTTTTGTAGTTATATTTCATCATCATAAGTCCGTCAGTCCTAAGACTGATTGGAGACGCACTTCTACTCCTTCCTATCCTGAGCTAATCCTCGCATTTCCTTAAAAGTAGAACAACCCACATCCATAACTATTTGTGAACTGTAATCTAATCTAGGCCTACCTCTATCCCTCCCAACTCCCGTTTCTAACCCTAATATGTCTGAGAAGGTGTCCTACTAACCTACCTCGCCCATTTGACTTATTGACTTCCATAGAGTTCACTGTTCTCTTACTCTTTCTAATACCTCTTCATTTCTAACCTTTTCTATCCACGGTATCCTCATCACTCGCCTGTAACACCACATTTCGAAGAGTGGCATAAATTGTAAATATAGCTTTAATATTTATTAATTTTCCTTTTTCATTTTCTCCGTGTTCTGTAGCTTTTCTACGTCCGCTCTCTTTATTTAATTTTTTACTTATTAATGATTTTTTGTTTTTGCTTATTTGTGATTTATAAAAAGGACAATTCTCAAAAAGTTACGTCTTCAAAAAACTTAGAGCAATTATCTTATAAAAAGAATTTTTGCTGATCCTAAAACAGAAAACTATTGTTCTACGCTTACCTTTAAGATTTTGAGTGGAGCAAACCTCAACAATTGACTTTATTTCATGCTGTTTGCTAAAATATTGTTCTATTTTATTTTGTCGAAGAAACAAACGAAAGCGCGCCAGGTGTTTCGACGACGTTCGAAGCTCGCGCGTCTTGCTGGAAAATTGGAAGGAAAAGCGCGCCGGAAAAGCGACCCGTCGTAACTGACGCGAATGGAAACGCTCTCCCTGTATGCGACCACATCTCGCGCCCCCTTCAACCCTCTCCCAAACGATCCTTACCTAACGCGCGATCGTGACGGAAAACCTTTTTATTTCCCTGCAACAGAGAAAGCAACATACACTAAACCACTTATGTATGTTAACCTAGTGTACCGTTACACTNTGGCTGGTGGGAATGAAACACCCAAAAGTTTTTTTTTTAGTCCACTGCAGATCTAGCTAGATATGCCTGGAGTGGCAGTGTACCTGTAGGTGGCGTATGTTAATAAGGGTAGAAGTCCACTCCTTGACCTGCAATATACAGCAGTCTCCTAAATGTCGGTGGAACTGCGATGATATCGGCACAAGGGCTTTCAGTAAAGGGATAAGTCTCTACACATAATTTGCCAATGTATAGATAAACATTGCAATGGATCCTGGTTATTTAGCTTGGGCCTAGGTGAGACAAACACCAATTGTTTCAGGTAGTCTATCTACAATCGCCGTCAGGGA